AAAAAAAAAAAAAAAAAAAAAAAAAGTTCCATTCCTCCTTTCTAAGGCCAACACGTTTTTCTATTCTCTGATGTTACCCAGGAATTGGAGGTTACAACACCTTCCTCAGCTCACTGTCTGGCAACCAATTCTTACCGTCTAGCTCATTTGAATGTTCATACTAAACACACCTACAGGGAAAAAAAAAAGTTCTCTGTTTGATTTCCTTCCTAAGTTTTGATTCTTAACCCATTTTACGGCCAAGTATCTCATGTGATCTCTTACTGTAGCTATATACTGGTAGTGGGCTGAACTAATATGAATCGCTAGAAGGCAACCTGATATAGGTTACTCTTAATTACAATCTTTTAAGTACACTTAAAGTTCTGGCAGACTTAGATATAGTGACTGTTAATTATTTCTTCCATTTACACTATGTTTTTAATGGACATAAGAATGAAAAATATACCACAGAATTTTATTATATATGACAAACTGTACTTTAAATGTTATGGACTTTTTTGCACAAAGTTTATAGTTTAGCAATATTGATATCATAAAAAGGTTTCTGAGGGACAATTTTACATGAGCTGAGCAGTGATTAAAGTAATGAACAATACTATGATAATGCAAATTGTATGAACTCTTAGAGACAACTAATTTAAAATTTACCATCTATATAAAAGAATAGCATACAGAAATAAAGTTTTTCATGCTTTCAGGGAAAGGGATCTCATAAAATTGGAGAGAACATGATGTATTTAAGAAGCAAACTAGGCAGTGAAGTTGGAGCACAGAAAACAAGAGGAGGAAGAGGTGAGGGCCAGATTCCTCAGGGCCTCCTAGGCCAGGATTTATACTTTATAGTATATGCATAAGAAAAACAGGAAGCAAATAAAAAGCTGTAAGCCAGGAGACAGATCACTTCTGCAATTTTAAGAGGATAACTCTAGATGCTTTAGAGAGAACAGGTACTTGAACAAAGTGAGTGTGTTAGGCAAAGGTGGGAGTTAGAAGCCTGAAGAGGAAATGATCGATAGCCTGGATATCAGTTGGCAGTAGAAATAAAAAGAAGATTCTAGAAGATGAAATCAATAAGATTTGGTGAGGGATTAGATATGGTAAGAGATGTCAATGACATGTTGGCTTCCTGCATTTATATACATATATACACATAATGCAGAACACATCTTGTACAATATATATCAAATTGTCAACAAAAGTTACCTAAGAGAAAGGATGAATTTTTACATAATAAAAGGTAGATTTTTAAAAACCATGTATATAGGCGTCTATATTGCTTAAATATTTTAGTAGGTATGCATTGTTTTCATAATAGTTAACTTCACATGCAATAAAAAGAAAAAAAGCATTTGCTTGACTGAAAGGTAGGAATGTCATTTTAGGAAGAAGGAATAACCTATCGAAAAACATAGATACATGGCATATTTAAAGAATACCTACTACAGGACACATTCAAAGAATAACAAGTAGTCCAGGGTTTGTTAAGTAAGATCAAAGAATGGGAATTCACATGGAGATGAGAGGCCCGACATCATTCTAGAATATGGTCAAATACATATCATGAAGGTCTTTATAGCCCAGGGGAAACACACACAGACACACAAATCAGTCCCTCAACTATAGGAAATGTGGAAGCACGTATGTTTTCAAGTAGGTGAATTGGAAAAAAAATCAAATTTATATTTTAGAAAGATCACTCCAGAGCCAGTGTGAAGAATGGCCCAAAAGAGAGGCAGGAAACAGGAAGATCATCTAGGTAAGAATTTAAACTAAAACAACAACAGAAATGGATTTGAGATTCATTATAGAAACAGATGATAGGATTTGATGGTTAAGATAGCTGTGACACATACAGAAAATGTAAACTCACATATGCTTGCATGGTTTCTAGTTTAGGAAACAAGACAGTGATGGCATCACTAGCTATTACAAGAAATTAAGTGTGGAGATAATAATTTGTTTAGAAGGTGATTAGTTTAAAGTACCTGTGGTTAAAGGAGGTCAAGATGCCCAAAAGGAAACTGGATATATAGGTCTGAATTGAGAAACACTGTCAGGACTGAAGCACATGAACACTATCACCCAGAAAAGAAAATTGTAAATGTATGGACACAATCTTACCCTTGATGTCACTGAAACTTGAGGCAACTGTAAGAGCTGACCAGTTCCATTTATTCTCATAGTTGTAAAAATTCCACATAACTGTTAAAGTCTCGGTAGGCAATAACTTTAAGAAGTAAGTTGGGGTTTTGGTCTTGCTCTTTTAAATTTTTTTTACCCCCTCCCTTTTTGTCTGCTTGCCCTAACTATCTAAGATAGATAAGACGTAAGAAAGTATAATATAAAGTCATTTGCTAGTCTTATTATTTTGTCTTACTTGTAAGAGACAAAGGAAAAAGCATTAAACAATTCTACCTTTAACAAACATAAGTAAAATAATGATTTACCTATGTGACTCTCCACTGCTTTTCTCTTGCAAATCATCAGTCCTTAATTAACCAACATCCCCAAGGATATCAACTCCAGCTGTAGCTTTAACCACAGAGGTTAAACAACTCACAGACCTGTTGTTGCTCAGTCAGAAACCCAAGTCACACTGTACCTTTGTCTAACTGATGGTGCCCTAGTTTGGTGGGAGGTGGAAAGAAAAGACCTATTGGCAAGGAAACAGCTGCTTCCTTCCTGAGCAAGAGAAAACCAAGCAGGTGACAAATGGGCAGAGCAGAAAAGCAGCCCAAAATTGCTCTGGTTCACTGGCAGGAATTTTTGAGAACTGAGGCACGACTGGGTAGGTTAAGGTATATCTGTGACTGAAAGAGTACTGTCTGCCTGAGTGCTTTGCTTAAATTCAATAGAGCTTCCCACACAACTACATTTGAAAAACTTTTAAATCTGAAATGGTACAAAGAGCCTTGCCTCAGCCTATACACAGTGAGCTCAGACTGCAAGGCACTGTCCCATTGCACTTTAGGATTATACCCTAAGAGAATGCACTTTCTGGTTAAAAATATTTTTAAAAAGAAAATTTCACTTTCTGTATAGCAGAATTATTAAAGTTTCATTAGAAAACATTTTTTCTTAAATATGCTTACTTCTATACACTGAATTTAAAAGACCTGTTGCAAACTTTTATAATTTGTTCTTTTATCATTTCCCCTCCCATCCACTTTTGTACCCAGAAAATTAAAAATCCAAGAATTCCTGGGTAGACAACCACTGGACTGATATAACATTTTTTTATATATAAAAGCTGTTTTTATATATAAAAGCTGTTAATAGCTAAGTTATTTTTCTTAAATGGAAATTAGAAATCGCTGAAAATAACATTAAAATTAGTGTGGCCATGAAATATGAAATTGTAAAACATCAGTTTACTATACTGATTAATTCAACATTTATATTTTCATCAGAACTTAATAATCCTATAAATAAATAGAGCTCTCAATTATTTAAAAAAATCAAGGGATAACATATGTATTTAGACATATTAGCAGCGTAAAATGTATGCTTCAACACACTTATTGGAAGAAGTCTGAAAATATTACTACACTGAAATCAAGGGCATCTGCAGGAACCTGACATAGAAGTTCTCTAGAGTAACATTTCAGGAAATTCCAAAAAAAGGACAGGGATCAAATAGGAAATAGTCTCAAATTAATCGATAAAGTTCAGTGCTTGCTCCAACTTGCTTTTTTTTTTGTCTTTCCCTTGCAAGCAAACAAACAAACAAACAAACAAAAAAAACAGTTTCAGGATGGTTGAATCACTTAGATGAAAGTTCATCTACTGGAATAAAGGGAGAGGCCGCTTGGGCAGGTGACACAGGAGAGTCGGTGGTAGTGCTGCCTTTCGCTGGTGAGTTACAAGAAGATCCCGCCCTGCTGCTGTTTCCATCAAGGGTATCCGAAGATACACACACACCGGGGTCTGACAGCTGTACAACGTCAGAAGAAAGCATGTTGGTGATGCCCTGGAAAAATCTCTTTGGCTGATACTCAGTTTCCATTTCACATTTTCTTTTCAACGGTCCAAGAACACTTGGTCTAATGCAATTGATGGGACTCTGGCTTCGCCGAGTGGTAAATCGAGTAGTTGGGCTGGGAATAGGGCTCGGAGGCAATCCATTGCTACTCACAAAACTTTGCAAGGATGGTGAAAAACACTGCTTTCCAATTCCCCGGGTGGGTGACGGTGCTGGTGACACCGGAATGAAATCGATGCGCTTTGGGGAGGCGGACTTCTCCACATCGTTGTCACTCAGACTGAAACTTTCCTCCCAGGAGTGGCTTATCTGCATTGCGGTCTGCACCTCGCGCTCGTGGACCGTCTCTCGGTTGATCAAGTCCATGCCCTCCTCTTGTTTGATCTGGTGCAAGCGGCTGCTGTGCATGCGGACCGGGGAGGCCGGTAGCAGGAGGCCGTGGCGGCTCGGGAACGTTGTGCTGTTCCGCCTAGCGCTCGGCGCCTCGGCCTGGAACACCGGCGAAGTGTCACTGAGGCCGTGGATGAGGGGGGCGCTGTTAGACCTCCTGAGGCCCCCGCCGCCGCCACTGCCGCCGCCCTCCGCCGGGCTCCCGCCTGTACCCGGAGGCAGTTCCAGATCCAGCTCCATCTTCTCCTGAGCCATGTCGGGGATAGGGAGGCGGGGGCGGTGCTCAGTCAGGGCTCTAAGGCTCCCATTCCCCGCAGTCCAGGGCCTCCGCCGCTGTCGCTGCCTCCCAGAATCTGTCAGCGAGCTCGCCCCTCTGCGCATGCGTAGCTATTCGCGCAGGCGCCCTAACATAAGGCGCCTGCTTAATGCGCAACAGCGGCGACGTAGCCGTGGTGGGTGGGGCGATTAGTGGTTGGGTCGCGCGGGTTGTGCTTTTTTTTTTTCTGCAAATAGCGATCGAACCCTAGTTCGCGTCAACGCCCATTGATAAGGTTATCGTTAAGGTTAGGTGTGTATACTGAAATGTAAACTCAGGAAGAGAGGTCCTTGATGATGTGGGGCTGTGTGACGTGGAGTAGGACTTTGCCTAATCAGGGAGGGCCTCCCTGAGGAAGGGACAGTCTCCTGAAACCCGACTAACTAGGCAACCCGACAGGTCGGTAGAATTTTCCCGGGAAGCCGGAAGCTAGGGCTACCGAACTAGTTGGAAGGCGGGAACCGGCAGGGTATAGGAGTGTGGCCAGGTGAGAACGAGGCCTTGGCGTGAGGAGAGCAGGGGCACTGGTCTTAGGAACAATAGTTTTCAAACATAGGTAAAGTAGGGATTGAAAAATTCGCTGGCTGAAGTCTGTAGAATAGATTATTGAGAGAGTAGAATTTACACACAAAAGGACAAAGAGGATGATAATTTACACTAAGGTGGTAGTGGGAGAGGAGATGGAGAGAATAGTAAATTTGAGAATTACGTATTCGGTTGGGGAAAAGATGCTTGTGATGTTATTACTATTTTATTTGCAGCTCTTTCCAACACAAGCATGTGTTTAATAATGTTCTGTATGGGGGATTAAATGAAAGGAAAGCCAGTAGGTTCTCGCATCTTAAAAATAAGACATAAGTAATTAATGTAAAATTTTGATCTCAATAAAGTAGATTTTTTACGTATTCAAAGTTTTTTCCTACATACCTACTACGTGGCAGTCACTATTCTAGGAAATGGGCCCTATTATGAGGGCATTTAATTTCTGTAGGGAGTGATTAGTGGTTAGGAACCCATGGCAACAGTACAGATGAAAGACTATGGACTAGAGTTGTAGTGGTGCTGGTGAGAAGGAGATGGACTAGATATATTTTGGAAGTGGAATTAATAGTTTTTGCAGATTGATCAAATATAGATGGTGACTAAATAGGTAATTCAAGGACTCAGATTTTTAACTAAAAACTGGGTAGATGCTAGTATCATTTATTGAGGACAGAAAAGGAGCACACTTAGAGGTGTGGAAATTAAGAGTTCTATTTCAGTAGGATTGAGTTAAAGGTAGCTATTCAATGTGTGGCTACATAAAGTAAAAGTCCAGTGATGTTTGCTCAGCCCCTTTTTTGAAGCGAAGGAATTAAAGTCCTAAGAAGATAAATGACATACTCAACATTACACAGCTAGGTTATAGTGGGAACCAATGGGAGAGTCTAATAAGTCTCTCGTTTTTCTAGTCTTTCCACAATATCTGCTTTTATTTGAAGTCCTTATAAACTGGGTTTTGAAGATAAAATATCCATGTCTACAATAATAGAAACTGATTTAACTAATTTCCAAGACGCTACTGATAGTGCTTCACATGCAGTATCTCATAAGATTGTCCCATTTTTGCATGGGAAATAGGCACAGAGATTGAAATCCACAGGATGACCGCAAGTGGCAGGACCTGGGCTCTCTGGCTTCAGAGTGTCAGAATGATGCCTCCTCTAAGAAGAAAACTATTTCAGGATTCAAAGAAATCACTTCCAGATAGTGGTTTTGTATTTAAGACAGGATTTAAAGATAGGATTTTAACAGAGATGGCATTTTATTTAAAAATGGCAAACAGTTATAAAATATTTTGGCTGGTACATCATGGAAAAGACTAAGTGATGACAAAAATGTTGGAGTTAAGAGTATGGAGATCTGAATGTCAGGCAGAAGTCTGTATTTAACAAGGGGGCAATAGAGAGCTTTTGCACATTCGGACAAGAGGAATGATACAATGAGAGATATACTTTAGGATCTGACAAATATATCAAGGATGGAGTAAAAAATAAGGTGAAGTGAACCAACATTTCTCGGGGCCTGCTCACTGCCAGGCCCTTGAGATACTTAAAAGTCCCATTTATTTACTCAATATTGCAATCTTATAAATTAGACACATATAAATTAGATACTTACATTGTTGTAGAGGGAAAATTGAGATTTCAAAATTTCACAAGGATTAGAGAAGGATAATTTGATGGCTAATAGGGCTTGAAGCCAAAATGGAGAATCACAGAAGGAGGAGATATATTCAAAGGCAGAAAGGCAACAACAGAAACTGCATGCAGAGGTAGAGGGAAAAGTCATAAATAAATGAAGTTCAATGTGGGTGGCTGAAAGAATGGTACAACATTAAATAAAAACAGAAAGGAGGAAGTGTCCAAAAATCCATTAAGCATTAAATATAGAATTTATTTTATACTATCCATACCATATTGTTACTTTATATATCATTAAATTATTACTAAAGTTGCTCAAATGTGCCAGCTGTCATTCTTGCACATTTGGATAACATTATTATAGTTAGTAAAGCAAAATGGTAGTAATAAGTCCATGAACTAATACACCTATGTGCCATTTAATTTCTGTCTAAACACCAGAGAACTTAGCTGGTTTCTCTGTTTACATCCTTGTTCCTACAGGCAGTTCTCTCCCCAATGGTCAAGAGAATCCTTTTTTTTTTAAATAGTAAATTATTACTTCTCTATTCAAAATTGTTTAGTAGATTCCCACCTCAAGAAAAAGCAGAGGTCATGGCAATGGCCTACAGACCACTCTGATCCAGGTCCTTCCAGCTATTTCCCCTTCCACAACCTTCCTGCCAACTAAAAGGGCCTCTGTACTGCCCTTCAGCCCACGAGGAAATTTCCCACCTACATGCCTCTTCATCCAGAGGGTATCTATGCGGCTCCATACATGAGGTCCCTGCACAGTTGTCATTACTGAGAGGCTCTCCCTGACTTTCCCTTATGAAAAGCGCCAGCAATACTAATACGAAGCCTATCTTCCCATCCTTCTTACCCTACATTTATTTTCCCCCAACGTACCCTGCAATTTATTGCTATTTCTTTCTATCTCATCTCTACTTCCATGTTTCTTACCCCTTACACTCCCACTGAGCTTTGTCTTTAGTTATATGAACAGTACATAGTACAAGGCTTGCCATGGAGTATTCAGTAAATGTTAGTTGAATCACTGTGCAAGTAAGTGATAGTGAATGAATGAATGAATGTAGGACCATTCAAAAGAAAGGACAACTATTATTTGAAATTTATTATTTGAAAATCTAGCATAACAGGCTATTTTAGATCAATTATAGGGACTTCTTACTTTGACAATTCTTTTTCTTATATCAGGAATATTATTTTAGTTACACTGCTCTACAGCCCATGGAAGGAGGTTATTTGAAAGAATCACTTTGCAAACTATGAAACTGAAGTGCCAAGTTTCCATTCATTTTCAAACATATGCTGACACACATTTGATAGAATTAAAATATTCAGTTCTGGGGATTTTAAGCAGTGTTTAATATACTGAGTTACTGCTTCCTCTCAAAGGATTCAAGGACAAAATTTTTTAAATGTCAGACATAAAATACAATTCAATCTGTTGCAAATGAGTTACGCCAGAGGTAGGATCCAAGGGGCCTTCCCTGAGTCAACTTAGTTTCACTCAATTAAATACTACACTTACTTGAGATTCATGCTTACTCCTACACCAAAAAACCAGACATCAAGAGTTAAACTTTATTGTGATTAAATATTAGATTTTTAAAAACTACTAATGGATAGTTTCTTTTTAATTCCTATGTGCAGTTTATTTTTCTTCTTCTTCTTTTTTGGTACCAGAGATCGAATTCAGGACCTTTTACTTGCAAGGCAGGCAGCAGAACCACTGAACTAAATAGCAGTTTATTTTATTATCTATCTAATTTTGCTTTTCAATGTACTTATACTTTGGGTTTCTCATATAAAGGAAACCATGTGACATTCAAGTTTATGTGTCTGATTTATTTCACACTATTATGGTCTTAAGGTGCATTCATTTTCCTGCAAATGACTCATTTTTCTTTAAGGCAAAACGGTACTCTAACACCTTTTCTTTGTCTATTCATCTGTTGATGGACATATAGGCCACCTGCAGCTATTTTGAATTGTACTGCAATAAACATGGGTATCCATGCATCACTGAAATAAGATGTCTTTAACTCTTTGAGAAAATACCAAGAAAGGGAACGGCTGGTCGAACTGAATTTCTAGTTTTAGTTTTCTGAGGAGTCTTCATACTGATTTCCTAATAGTTGTACTAATTTACATTCTCACCAACAATGTAGAAGGCTTCTATTTTCCCCACAGCCTTGCCAGCATTTGTTCTTATTTGATTTCTTGATGATAGTCATTCTTCTGAAATAAGATAGAATCTAAGTGTTGTTTGAATTTGCATTTCTCTAATGGCCAGAGATATTGAATACTTTTTCATGTATTTATTGGCCATCTGTAATTGTTGTGAGAAGTTAGTTGCCCATGTTTTGATTAGGTCTTTTATTTTGGGGGAGGGGTTCTAATTTTTTTTTTAGTTACTTATATGGTCTAGATATTAACCCTCTGTCCAAGGTATAGCTAGCAAAAATTTTTTCTCATTCTGTAGGTTATCTCTTTACTCTGTTGTTTCCTTTGCTGTACAGAAGCTTTTTGACTTGATATAATCTCCTATGGGCAATTTTTAAGCTATTAAACCTTCAAGCATTATGACAAGGCAGATTTCTATTTATGAATCTATACTGAATAAATATGAAATAAACACATGGATGTTTATGAATGTAATCTGAGATGAGTAGCAAATATCTCAACATATTAACTAGTATCACTAATGTTAAGTGAAAATATTGCAGAAGAAAACCATACATAAAAGCACAGGATCTTAGGCGGTGTTAACTGGTACAACCATTTAGGAAAAGCATTTGGCAGTAGCTGTCAAAAAAAATATATGTATATGTTATGACTAAGCAAATACACTCAAAAGAATTGAGTGCTCATGTCTACT